TTGTGTGTTTGTGGTTGTGTGTTTGTGGTTGTGTGTTGTGGTTGTGTTTGTGGTTGTGTTTGTAGCTGTGTGTCTGTTGTTGTGTTTGTGTTTGTGTGTTTGTGTTTGTGTTTGTTGTTGTGTTTGTGGTTGTGGTGTTTGTGGTTGTGTGTTTGTAATTGTGACTGTGGTTGTGTGCTGTGGTTGAGGTCTGGCAGGGAACACTTGGGCCTGGAGCTCGCGGTTGAGGTCCGGCAGGGAGCACTGTGCGCGGATGGTCGTGGTTGAGGTCCGGCAGGGAACACTGGGCGTGGATGGTCGTGATTGAGGTCCGGCAGGGAACACTGGGCATGGATGGTCGTGGTTGAGCTCCGGCAGGGAACACTGGGCGTGGATGGTCGTGGTTGAGCTCCGGCAGGGAACACTGGTGGTCGTGTTGAGGTCCGGCGGAGGAGGCGGAGGAGAAGGAGGAGATGGGGCTGACGTAAAATATCGTAAAATCTAACAACCCTCACCTGACAGGTGGGGAAAAAGAACGTCGACATGAACCACAAATGGAGAAATGTAGTAAAAGAATCTCAGGTTTGATCATATCATGTCATCTATGTTCTCTTCAATATCCGACTGGGCCTGAGGCCCCGACGCTTCGGGCGCCCGGGGTGGACCGGGCGGCTGCACGGGCGGTTCAGCCGCCGGTTCGACCGGATCGACTGGAGGTTCAGCCGCCGGCGCGACCGTTTTGGCCTTGGTGGATTTGGCTTGGATAAACTTGGACAACCATCCCAATAATTATACAAATAATGAATATGCGAGTCTCCGTTTTCAAGTTTTCAGAATGTTCACAAATCATGAATTGTACCCACTACACTCCCTGGAATCATCCTGGAAGTGGAAAATCACTGGCTTGTAGAGGAAACTGGTCATCCAAGGGGCCATTTTCAACTTCCATGACAAAACCAGGGAGTGCGGTGCCAACACCTTTTCGCACCGCTTCGCTCCTCTCGTGTTTGCTGGGCGGTCGCCACCTTTCGAGCTCGTTTGGGCTTCGCCTTCCGCTTCTCCGGCGCGGCCTCGACTCGGAAGAAGGGCGACGTTGCTCAAAGGTGTTGCCATTGCAGCGAAGTGGGTTGTTTCCAGCGTTCATGGTTTCAGAAAAAACTGGTTTTCTCGTCGAAGTTGTGCCAAAGCAACATTGGCCAACATCCACCAACAAAGTCTCGTCCAACTGGCAGTAATTAGGCAAACATGAGTGGATGATGAAACCAGCACTCAAAAACCCAAAGACCAGATTCAGATGTTCATACAACTTACAAAGGCGATTCCTCCGGAGCCCCGTACGACCGCCTTCTCCGCCTTCTCAGCCGGTCGTTTGGCCCTCGGGGGATCGAGCTGGTCTCGAAAGATGTTCTTTCAAAACCTCTCTTAGCAAAGAAAGAAAGTAGATAGATCTCTTCCAGCTGTAACTAGACTAACCTTGTCGTATGCAAGTAAAGCATATTATACAAGTATGGTCAGCAAAAACAGCAAGAACAAAAGCAAGAAGAAACAGGGAGTCAGTGGACCCATCCTCGAGGCACGTGGCTTTGGTGCGGCATCTTGGATTGCTGGAAGCTCCTGAAATAGATGGGGCCATGGGATGCGTCACCAAAGAATCCAAGAACAGAAAAGTGCAGGACCGCCTCGGGCATTTCAGCATTCTCCGCGAGGTACAGGACCGGCCTGGTCGCATCATTGACGTATTGTCGTATTGTCAGAAATTCAGGACGTGAGTCCTGCTATTGGGGGTGGAGTGCAGCTGGGGTGAAGTTTCCACACCAGAACACAACATTCGGTTCTCAGTGCGCAGCTGCCCCGGTCTGGTAACTTTGCGAAAATGGTGCATGCTGGAGGTCACCTAAGCCATCTGAGATTTGCTGACAATTGTGGTCCTGCAAATAACACTGTTGAGGCATTTGAGGTCATTTGCACTTGCTGCAAAAAGGGCAAACATACCAGGCTAAGTGTAGCACCGTGGAATGCCACACCTCAGCAAACAAATTCCACAAGAACATCATTATCATGCACTAAATTGAGGTCAACGTCTGGAGATCCCTCAAATGCCAGACGAAGCCCCATAGACAAGTACTGGATAATCAGCTTGCTAGTCTAGTTGAGACAAAGAACTGGCCGGCGATGACCGTCACGCACATGCCTTGGATTGGCATGAGATCACAGTTTCTCCAGTGTTTCACGCTTAAAGTGATTTGACTGGGAAGTTTTGCAGGTCAGACCCAAAGGCAGCAAAGAGGACGCAAGCACACGAACACCAAACACCGCAAAAACACCAGACTGTCATAGACTGAACTGTCTTGGCTCGTCGATGTTCATCTAGTTTCCTTGCATGAAGCTTCTGGGGTCTCCTCCTGTATAAGGACACACCCAAATACCGCTTCATTGCAGCCAAAGCCACTTGTTCAGCTTAACTTCACGAAGCTTCTCCAACTCTTCAGGATGTTGTTCGATCCATTCGATCACTTGGCCTAGCTGCTTTCACCAACAAGTACCAGTGCATAATAGGATTGAGCAAAAAGACTTCTGAGCAATTGCTGAGATCTTTTGTGCAGCAAAGTAGCGGCTGGTTCCCTTTCCACCAAGACTTTCCAAGGCCTGATGTAACAGGCTTTCGCCGCTGAAGCAACAGTTGACCAGTGCACACCAATGAAGCCCGGTTCTTAAAGAGACAACAACGTAGGTAGCTTGTGTCACTGTGAAGCCTTGAGTACATTTTACGACTATAGAGGCGCACACACACAGAGAGGCACGCTTCAGCATACGAGAGGCCAGTAGCTTGAATCGCTTGGATATCCAAGTGATTTGCTTAGGGTATGGAGGACCATCCTCCAAGTGCGGCTCCATGACTCGGGTGACCAGGTCAGGTGGGCTGTGCAAAGTCTTTGAGCGGCAAAACACCAAAAGTCACGTGAGGGTGGTAAATGCTTATGAACCCTGCTTCCTACATCCTACTACCCAGACCTTTATGGAGCCTACATCCTCCTATCCTAGAGTAGAATGTGTAATTCGGCAATTTTTTCGTTCTTCTGGGGCTTCCCGATGAACCTGAGGCTCACAGTCAACTCCAAGCTCTGGACTGCGCCAATGACCAACTTGGTGCCTTAGCTTCTCAGGTCGTCTATGTTCAGCTAGATCTGGTAGTCCCTATCGAGGTGGAAGGGCCATTACCAACAACCACAAAAGGTTGCACTGCTTGTGGTCCCAAAATGTGCAGCAGAACCAGGAATGAAGCTTTCTGTCCCTACACACGCACGTGCGAGCAAGCTAAACTCTGAGGAGAAGACAGTCTGCTGTTGTGCTACCGAAGTGGACAGCTCAACAACGGCTCAACTAGCTCAGCTGTGGGGTTTAAACTCATCATGGGCAAGCAATAATCTTTGAGCGTCTCCTAACACCGCAGGGAAGTGCCAAGGACATGACCAAAAAAGCATCATTGCTTTTGAGGCGGGGGCCTGCCCCTTTGCCAGGTGTTTGTAATCTTTCTGTCTTTGACGATTTGAATGCTTACCAAAACGGCCATGACTGGTATGGTTGCTCAGATAAAACAGCCTAATAGCAAGTGCGGCACAGGGGGCCGCTAAACCGGTCCCAGTTGACCCAGTTCCAGTTGACCGAATTCTTGGAGCGCAAAGGCCCGGTCCCGCTAGCTTCTGTGCGGCTCAAGTGACGTCGGCCCTCGATTGGGCCAAGCACCTGTCGGACACCGATATTCTCCTTTTCTTCGATCACTTGGATCAGATCCTCGTTGGCGTCGAACGGAGCGATCGAACGCTACGAACCGAGCAAAGGGCATGGCTGCGAACTGAGCGATCGGACGCTACTAGGTATACTACTAGTAGCGTCCTTGCTACTAGTAACGATGGCCTCCAACCTACTACAGCTTCTTGCTACATAGCAGTCATCACGACATCGTTGAAGGAACCGATACACAGCGATGTTTTGCTTCGTGGAGGTCAGTGAAATAATGGACACATCCACACTTTCAATTCGTTCCTCATGCTGCTGAGGAAAGCCACTAGCTATTGGTGAACGATTTTGTGAACAATGAATTAAACTCTTGGAAAGCAGAATTGCAAAAGCAACAAGAGTCACTCTATGATGTAGATTCCAATGTCCTCCAATTGAGCCCATTCCTGACCTCAAAAAGCAAAAGTACAGGGCTTAGGTAAAACAATCCATGTGGAGGGAAGCACAAGGATGGACTTGATGCAGCTGAGCAGGCTGAGCTTGCACTTGAGATGGAGGATCAAGGGCTTATGCACTGATGTTTCAAACCAGCTTGATAAAACTACAGCTCTGGCTCTGACTACTGTCAAGTGCTCTCCACACGCGTGATTTTGGACCGCGTGCACTGCTTCCGCATGGGCAACCGCCGTGCCTCCTCGGTCATTGGCTGCAATGCGCAATTCGCAAAGCCAATCATCAATAATGCATGTAGGTTTCGGGTCTAGGAAAGATCGATCAGTTGGTTCTAAAGCAAACACTTTGGGAGAAGCATATCTTGTCATGGTGAGCTCCAATTCAACTGGCCTGGCCATGAGAGCTACTCACCACAATGTGCATCTCGCCACAATTGTAGACGCAAAAGTCCAAGATGCATTCTACCCCAGAGGGAGGAATGTATACTAGGAGCACGCAATATTGCAATATCTTATACATGTTTGCTGCTCCTGCCGCTTCACTATGCCATCAAGGAGCCTTCCTGCTTCGGCCCATCCAGCCATTCCTGCCAAGAGTTTCAAGCTTCCAACATCATGGAACTTCGGTGGGTTCACAAACATTGAAGAACAACCGTGCTGGTTGGTTCACCCAACAAAAAACTCAAACTCTACCCTCAAAACTTATGCTACATGCAACAACATCCCCTCCAAGACGCAGACTCTGTGTTCCCAACGCCTGACCCGTTCCCCACCTGACCCGTTCTCCCACCTGAACGGCTCGCAATCCCCTCTGCTTGATCTCTTCTGGTGCTCGGCTATGTCGAAAGGAGGTTGCCTACGTGCATGATGAATCCTTTTCAATGAACTTTGCTGGGCTACCCTTTGTGTGAGGCAAAATAGGCAGTGCGGCATCAATATGCATGGGTGGTGCTTCTTCATCTGAGCATCGCCCAGCTAATGTATACGCAATATAACTAACCCTTGGAATATCAGCTCTTCAAATAAATAATTGCACCCTCAAAGAGCAACGTCTGACCGAAAGTTCGAGGAACCGCACAGGCTGCCAGCTGCTCATCTGACATCTTTAACCTCCAACATGTTGCACATCGACAACAAAGCACTGATGATAAAAACATGGTCTGTTGTTGTCTGGTTGGCAGGGCAACTCGAGTTTGTGATAGATCGGATCAAATGGACATCTGTGCGTGTGAAGGCCCATGAAAACACTAAAAAGATCTATACAAAGCGCAACACAAAAAGTTCCAAACATAAAACCCAAGTGGCTCATCTCGGCAGCGTCGAAACTCTCCAAGCAGACTGGATCCAAAGAGCAAGGGATCATCCGAGTTGATGGTGCAAGGCCTGACGACTCGGGACCATCCTTGTCCATCCACACCACACCAGTCGATACACCGACCAAGTGTCTTTATCCTACACGGATCGAATGAAACTAGCCACGAGGCACGCTGAGTCACTATGTGAATGTATATCACTGTATCATCTGAATCTTGGGGTTATTGCCTGGTACAGGATTTGGTCAACCACCCTGAGTTGCTGGCACACCAGCTGCAAGGAGCTTCGTCAGAGCAGACTCTGTCACGGGCATCACGCCAAGCAGTTCATTGCTGGTGGGGCACACGTCCAAGCCTGGGGCCATCAAGCGGAAGCCACGGTTGCCAAGGACCGACCGGAAACGACACGATGTCACCTGGCATGTCGCCTGTTGCGTACGAAGCGTGGCATCACGACCGTCACCCACCTAGTCAAAGGGTCAGTGGCCGCCATCAAGTATTTAGTAGGGCCAGTGATACTCAAGCCGCAAGCCGGTCGAGCCCCCATTGAAACGTACACAAACTCCGGGGGGGGTTGTAGTTCACGGTGCTGATGACCTGGTCGCGAACGGGCCATAGTGGGGCGCCAGTTCGACACCTAGTGAAAAGAATCAATTACCACAATGTTACCACAAGCCAATTTGCCTTGGGCAGTGCAAGAATCCAAACTGGCTTACGCTGACCAGAAGCACAAACCGTTGGTTGCACCAGTTATATACACATAAAAAAGAGCACCGCAACTCCCCCCAAAAAGGCTAGATAAAAGCATATAAAATCATATAAAAGCATTGGCCTGCCCCGGCCAGACTGACTTTCAGAAACCCGAAGTCGGAACAAGCTTGGTCCCGGACAGACTTGGAGCTTGGCCAAATGCTCGACGAGCTCTTGGTCCTCAGCGGCCAGCACTCCATGTGCAATGCGGACCGCCTTCAGATGGTCCACGCAGAACCTCACCTGAGCGTGTCCATGCCCAAGACATGAGCGGTGTCTCGTAGAGAGAAAGACCCAAACCAGGCCCCAGACATCTGTTCGGAATCACAGCCGGAATCGTCTCGTCAAGGTATTTTACTTCGGTCAAATTGGGAAGCAAACTGCCCATTGGTATACTGTAAATAAAATTGTGCTAGGCAAAATACTTTGTGACTCTGACCATGGGTTGCGCTGATGTCCGATGGGAAGGCATGTGACGAACAATTCCACTGGCTAGCCCCCCAAACTGAACAATAATAGGGAATGTCTTTTCAGGAAAACAAGTCCAAACGAGACGGCACAATACTTCAAACTCGGACACTGCCCTGCGGGAGAACTCAGTGAGCTTTCGCCACATCTTTTCACATACTGTGACATAGCCCATGTGCATTGTCCGATGCCAAGGATCACTTTTTGCTCCGCCTCCTGTGGGGGCGAACTCCCCTGCGTGTGGCAATGGGACCACCAAATCGCTGCACGCAAGGTGAAAGGCTTCTGCAAAAGGTTCTGGCGGATGGTTAGCCTGATCCAAGACATGCTTTAGACTCTTTAGACCTTTTAGACTGAGACGTTGAAAGACCCAGGCAGTTGCAACCAGAATCTTTGTTTGCTCTCGAGATCCTGGGACATGGGCTACTTACAGGGCACGCGTGGCCTCATCAGAGTGCAAGCCGAAGCCAAGAATTCCAGGACGGCCATGGATTCCAGCTCCACTTGTCACCACATCTCTGACCTGTCACCACATCTGAAGATCTACCCAGTCTACCAGATCTGGAGTGTAATTGGGTGAAGATGATTATCGAAGATCACCACATGAAGGACCTGGTCAAGACCAGTTGCGGACCAGTTGCTGACCATGATTGATGGCATGCGCACCAAAAGAATTATAAATATTATGAATAGACCATGCACATGCTGACATCATTCTCCGATGTTATGGATCCATGGACAGAGACAGTATGACTCTATCTATCTATATCTATATACACTAGATAAATCATGATAAATCTCAAACACTATAATTAATACATTATAATAACACTATTTTATATATTATTTACAATTATAGACGTATTGACACTCCTGAAGTTCGGCCGAGGGACTTTCTTAGCCAAGGCCTCTGCTCTTGCAACCGGAAGGTGCCGCTCTGCTGCAACGATGAATCCTCAAGAGCAACGCATCCTCCGAAGTTCGTTATTTTGAGCCTTTGATCCCCCGTTTCTCAGCCTACCCCTTGGCCAAATCCAGTTTTAGAAGTCGTCGCATCTTCCACATCAAGTGCCCACTCAAGGAGGGTCCGATGTCAAACGAACCAGTGTTGAATCGATCGGGTCAAGTGAATTGGACATGTGTTCGATTCTTTTCGTACTTTTTCATGTCATCCGTGTGTCACCTCAAAAACCTGGGGCAACGAGATCCAGGCACGCCCCCACATGTGCAGGCAAGCCACCCATCGCCACTTGCGTGGCCTCTTCTGCCGCTTCTGCTGCTTGGAAGAGGAGATGCAAAGTTGCTTCCACACCACCTCAATTTGTCCAAGCGGAGCAACCAGGGACGAACACACAACCTTGAGCTGCACAAATGGTTTTGCAAATTAACGGAACATACAAACGTCACAAGCAAATGCACGCAGAGTAAAATCTGGCTTTTCCTTTGCTCATGGCTTGGGATGCTGGAAAGAAACCAAATTGGTCCGCGTACAGATCGATTGAAAGCGCAGGCTCTATCCAAAGGGCACCTGGTACAAAGGCCCACAATCACAGAATGAGAGCAAACTCCATTGAAAATCAAATGCTTGATGAGATCTTTCTGAGAAAGGCACTATACATCACTATACTATTATATATTTTCAAAAAGCTATCAGCCAGGAGCCAGTTAGCCCTTGTTGACATCCAGCTTGGAAGGCAGCTATATAACTGCCCCTCCTTCTGGGCAATCTAGGAACAGTGTCACTAGATCGGTCTCCTTCAGCAAACTCAGAAGAGCAGTTCAACAGGCCTTTAGGGGCAAACGCGACCAAACTGAACAGGTCCAAACCAAGTCCGTTTGGTCCATACTGAAACCAAGTGTCAAGAAACTGAACCCTCCCTGCCTGATACCCCTCAGGTCATGTCGTGCTTGCTCGCCCTGCCTGATGCTGAGGCATCCTCAGCCACCTCTAGCACCAAGCGCTCGAGGTCTGCCTTCTCCCGAAGGCACTCACACACCGCTATGTAGCAGCTGGCAAACCTAGCTGAAACCCGGAAGACCTGTTGGTCCAGCTGTTTCTCTGTTTCTCTCAAGAAACCTTGGGGAGGTTGGGAAAGCGAGAACTGCTGGAGTCATGACAGTCCATTCGTTTCAGCTACTTCTTTTCCAACAGAATATCAGGAGCCGATGCGCAACACTGGAATGTCATGGAACGCTCATTGCGTTTCAATGTGTTTCTCCAAGCAGCGGGGAGAAATCTGCAAATCGTTGGCCACGCCTGGGCTCATGGAAGAACAAAGAATTTGTTTTTCTTATTATTTAACTTATTTATGATTTATGTTTTTTTTTGCGTGCAGTCACTGTTCATCCAGAATCCATATTAAGTCTCAAACCGTCTCAAATCCCCAAACTTGCCCTAGGTCCTTGGATGTGAGGAAGATAGACTCGTATCAATGTGTAACGACTTGTAGTTGTGAAGCACTATGCTGATCTGCAAGTGAGGTGAAGAAGCGCCCCAGTTCTACCAGTGACTGACCGATTCGCTGAGGCTCTGCACGTGTCCATGGGTCTCTTCACTCCGTGCTTGCGGCATAACTCCGTGAGAGTCTCAGCACCTGAGCGCCGACTCCACCAAGCGACACCGCGCCGCTGCCGCGTTCGCCGTGTTTGGGGCTCCAGGCGCATGGCGCCTTCCAGGTGCAAGTGAAGCTCCTCGGGACCCGGTTTTGGACGGCTCCAAGCGCCATGGCGTGTTGGGCTGGGGAGGGTGAGGTAAGCAATCATGTCAACGTCGTTGGGGTTGGCATTTGACCGAACATGTCGTAGACCTTTCAGAAACCCGGTGTATCCCGGTGCGTCGATGTCTTCGATGGTCTTCATACCCGTCCGTCTGAATGGTTTGATACCTCGCTGGGCTCACCTCTCTTGGTGAATTTGCCGTCACACGCGTCAGGTCCAAGGCTCCGCTTTGGGCAAGCTGGCCAAGCATCGGCCATCCATCGAGCGATGGGGGGGCAAAGTGCTCTCACATTCCGCCAGTTCGCATTTGAGTTCCAAAGGCTTCATCGATGCTGCGTATATCTGCAGTATATAGTCAAGAAAGGCCCACACAGTGGGTCCATTCCAACTTTTCATGTTCCATATCCTCCTCGTTCTGCTAGTTTCGCTTCACATCTCTGGCTCTGCAAGCTCTTAAAATGACCCACTCATCCTGTCATCTGTAGCTTGGCTGGATTCTTCCACGAAAAGCCAGGCCTGTTACCTTGGCAACCGCATGTCTTGGCCCTCCAACCAGCCATGGCTTGGATGAGGTCCTCTCCACCTTTTGCTTTGAACCTCGGTGACCCCCCCCAGCGGCTCGCCCAGACAAACCGCTCCGCGAACAAAAGCGCCGACCACTCTCGCGCTCCGGGTGCACGGCCGATCGATGCGCGACTTCACCGAATCCAAGGCGATCTTGAGGACCTGGCGACTTTCAAACGCAACATGTTGACGACAGATTGGACGGACATGGGATCTGGGTCATTCTTGTCACTGGTCTACATTCCTTGATACTGAAATACTGTGGGCAAGTAGCGCTGATTAGCACTGGCTTCCTTTGGAAGGTCACAACACGTGCTGAAATGCCCGCCTCCCCTCCAATGCCGGACTCCCAAATCCCTTTTAGGCAGTTGAAGACCTGAAACCCATTGAAAACCAACCCTAAAAGCCAAAACAAAATCCTGCATGCTTGGACTCCTGAGGTGTGAACCACCTGCCGCAATCTGGATTGCTCTTTTTTCTTCAGCAAGTCCTGGAAGAGGGAGGATGTTCAAGGCTACTGAGCTGCTATAAGGATCCGACAAGCCCATGTCCTTGGCATCATCGTCCCTTAGTCCGGGCGATCGCCTACACCACCCTTGTGAGTTCGTTCAATTCAGGAACGAAGCTGAACTATCCATGGTCAGTTCGCTCCACCAATTCAGGAATTTTTGGGTTGAACACAACCATAGGCAGCGAACTGACCAAGGAACAATGCCGCACCACTGTTTTCTGCAGCTTTTTAAGCGCATCAGCATCCATAGTAAGCTGAACGGCTACTTGTCATTTCGAGGATGCCTCCTTGCCTGCAGCAATGCTCACAACTGAGCAGCGGTGAGAATTTCAGAGTGGCTGGAATGTACATACTCATGAATACCCAGTAGGTCAGTGGCTGATATCTGATGATGAGTGCGCTTGTTGACTTCCTTCAAAGCTTCCTAAAGTCATCAGATTATATTCTATGCAGTATCTTATACACAAGCCAAACACTCCAATGAAATCCCACCCACATCGCGGCCGATGCCATCCGCCCATCCCCCCGATCTCCTCGGACCTTGAGGGTGTGGTGCACCGGCCCCACATGCTCCTCCGCTCCGGAGGTCCGAGATCCGGCACTTGAAGGGTCTCCGAAGTGTCGCGAAGGGTCGGAGGCAGGAAGGAGAGAGGAAGATCTACAGCATTATACAATATGATATATATATATATATACAGTATAAATCAGTATAATATAACTATAGAGATCCGAACTATTCAATGATATTCAATGTATATAAATATGTTCGAAGTCCCACAAGATCTGAATCTCCCTGGAACACTGGCAAATAATTACCAACCCAGACTCCTTGGCCACTTCTTCTTCATTGTGGGCATGCACCTCGCCCTCCTCTTTGAGCTCCTCAGTGCAGCGCATTGCAACGAGCCAACTGAAGAAGCCATCACTCTAAGACCTCTAAGCTTTTCAGAAAAGCAAAACTCTGGACACAGCATCTGTGAAAACTGCAGCAGGTGAACAAACCCTCCATGTATATAGACCAAAGGGTTTGAACTTCTGTGAATCTTTAAGCATGGAAAGGAAAGCGCTTTTCATACACCGAATGGGTCCGCGACCTTCTTCAACTCCTGGCACAAGTCGGTAAGTCGAACACATACACACTGGATGAAACCGAACATGGTGCCTGTTGAGTCTTGAAATGTCTTGAGTCCTCTCCAAGAAAAAATAAGAACCTAGTAGAGATGGGGGAGCTCAAGCCTGAGTCATTTCCAACCAAGCCTCAAGTTCTTCCCTTTCGTCCTCCTCAAATTGTGCGGGGTACCGGTCGCACCGGTCCGGTGGCCCTTACGCCGGTCGACAGGTGCCTGCAGCAGCTTGTCATAGCGAGAGCTGCGCTCCCCTGATGCCAGGACGCTGGCAGTGGCCAAAAGGAGGAGGAAGCGCCACAGAGAGGTCATCGCTGGCGTCACCTCGCTGCAAAGAAGGTCGTGGATATCACATCACACGATATATGGTTGAATATGGTTGATTGCCTTGACATGGTCAAATCACACGATGCATTTCATGGATTGGACAATGGTATGTGTCGAATGATCAAAATCCGCAAATGACTTGAGACACATTGGGTCTTCAAGATCCAAGTTCTGGAACACCCCTACCTCCTCGATGTCACTTCTCTTCCCTTTCCCAATGGCAAATTTGGAATTGGGGATCAGAATCTGGGGTGGGATTGACAATTGACAGGCACCCAACATCCACAAAAAGAATACATAAATTGTGTCTCCCATGTCTCCCCTATCTGTCGAATGGACAGAAAATGTTGTCTGAGCTGCCAACCAGCTGAGAGAATGGATATGCTTGTCAGGCAATCGATGACTTGAGCCAAATGTCTCATGTCTCACGAACAATCCTCACTTATGTCTCCCAGTCTTCTCACCAAAGTGTCATACCACGCTTTGTTGGATGTCTCTATAGCTAGACCTGTCACAACCCCAGCAACGAAGCAAGACGGCCATCTGAGCTCAAGGCATCAAATGCTTGGTGTCAACCCCCAAGCGCCGTCTTGGTGTCGAGAGCTCCTCAAAAACGTGGACCAGCGAGTCCGTCACAGCGCGGATCCAGCTTGTGGTCCTTGACAGCTTGGAGCAAGGTATCACGGAGCGCATAGACCTGAGCGAGACTTGACGGCCTGAAAATAGTTACTCCTTGCCTGGCCGGCTTGGCTACTGTTTTCAAGGACTTGGAGTTTCTCCTATCCTGATCTATCCTGGGCCCTGTAAGACAGGAGCTGTACGCGCACTCGCTTCAGATCTGAATCGAACACACTGTCCAGTCCACTGGGCGACGGCGCATCAGCATCATTGGACTTGGACACACGCTCCAGGTCCTCCACCTGACACAACGCGCAACTGTTGCGGACGGTTGTCCACCCTACCACCTGACAGGACCTGATGAAAGGAAAGGATGTACCCGAATCTTCATCTCTGTTCATTTCGCTAAAGAATACAACATGTATCAACATGTCAGCCGTATACTCTGCCCATGAGCTCCAAAACTCCTCCGCTTTCTCAGCGTCTTCCTGGCCTTCTGATTGCCCTTTGAGGACACCATGATATCCTTGCAGGCTTCGACCTCATCCGACTCCGTGCGGCCGAGCTCGGTGGAGGAAACACCCGAGAAGGAGAACCAGGACGGAGAACCAGGTTCTTTGGGCACCCCGACCAGCTGGTGTGCCTTCTCTTCCAGCTCCGAATCTTCGATGCTTTCAACTTCGCCTGGAGGACCAGGAGATATTTGGCTTTCGCTTTGCCAAACAAAGGAATTGTGTTGGTCCTCATTGGTGTGTCACCATGACAAGAAAACAACTGTGAGGACCTAGACTCCGACTCCAAAGCAAGTGCCTCATGCACCTGATAATCTGTATGTATGAGTCCGAGTCAGGATGTGGCAAGACGTACAAGTGAACTGGCCTGCTTGAGCATAGTGCTCCAAGTACTCCTTGCTTGGATACCAGCTGGATCCAGCTGGTGGTTTCGGACACGCAGTGAGTCAAACAGTATGTGGCTGACTAGCCAATCAAGGTTTGTTGCAAGGGCTAGGTGTCTAGGATAATTGATCTCCTGGTCTTGCTTGACCCACGACCACATCCCCATGCCAAACCGCTCCATGGGCCCAAGAACTGTTGAATGCTTTGCTCAGGTTCCTGAAAGAATTCGTCGAAGAAATCCTCCCGAATGAGCCAACGCTTGACGGCCAGTTCACGTTGGTCCTATGACAGAGACATCTTGCAAGTTCAGCCCCTGAAACCGGTGAGCCTTCGTTTCCCCAGCCTTCCTGTTAATATCTGCAAACGACCAGCAAATAAGTAAGAGTTAGCAAGTTCCACCTGCTCCGAAAACATGCTGTCCTCTTTGAGATGTTCTCGCTTGAGGATGAAGTCCCGCAGGAGTTCGCCGTCGCGGCCGTGCCCCCGCTCTTGCACGAAGAGGGGCCTCAGGGGCTGAGGGCCATGTGGCGTGGCCGAGTTCGGACGCATGGAGCTCCCGGAGACTTCGCGGTGTGGGCGCCAGTTCACCAAGCGAAGGCGAACTCAGCTCTGGTTTGGGCCACCAGCTCATGGTTTTTGGCAGGAAAGCTGCTAAGCTTAGCAAATCCCGAGGGACTTAACTGCCGCCAAGCTGCACCAGATCTTTCTTTGGCTGTCGTTTGGCTCTAACCTCAATATCCAAAGCTCAAGAGTTACCCTCCAAAGCAACTTGCTCAAAAAACGATTAGACTTGCCCCTTCAGTGTCTTGAGACACTTGAATGCAATGAACATGTGCAAAACCTCAGCTTCATGCCCCTTTTTTCTCAGCTGGAACGGCCTCAGATAAAAGCACTGCGGTTCTGATAGGTGTGTATGACAAAGACTAACCAATTCCGGTTGCACGAAAACAAACACCGAAGGCAGCAAAGGTTGCCGAAGGCCTAGGTCCTTCTCCATCTTCCCCTGACTTCAACTGAAAACCATTAAGCTACTAGGAACAAGTGCATCGCTACTAGTAGTAACAAGAAGCTATGTTTTTCCGCCTCTTGATTTCACTCCAACCTGCGGCGCTTCGGCCCAGATCGACAGTCATGATCATCGGTTCCATTGACCGGGGATCTCGCAAGCAACAAGCGCAAGAGTTCCACATGGCCATAGAGAGCTGCCAAATGCAAGGGCCTTGAACCATCTGCACATGTTTCCTCCTTGTTGGCTCCAGAATCAACCAACAAACGTGCCACTTCCAAGTGGCCTTCTTCACACGCAAAGTGAAGAGCTGTATAGTCGTCGGCATCGGTTGCATCCTTGTTCGCTCCAACCTCAACCAACACTTGCGCGA